CTGTCGAGGGTGACTGCTGCACCACCACCCTCCTCCTTCCCGGGTAGGCCTCAGCCCCCCTGCCCCCAACTCACTCTGGATAGTGATTTCTTTGACTGCCACTGCCCGGCTTTCTGAAATGGGTGCCAGCAGTACATGGCAGTGATCCTGAGCCAGGTCGTAGGTGGCTTTGGCTGATCGACACAGAATGGTGACCAGTTTGTCATCTGGAGGGCTCCCCGCCTGTTGTGGGGAGACCATGGGTGATTCTTCAGCAACCATGACAGCAGCCCAGGCTTGGGGCCACCTCCTAGCCAAGGCCAGGAATATTGCTGCTCTGCATGAAGTTACCTCCCTGCCCCTCCACCTCCAGAGAACCTCACCCCACCTCATTCACCCTACAGCTACGCAGTGCCTTTCACCCCTAGGACCCTCTCTCCCTCCCAGCTCTGAGAGACACGACCTGTGCCCTTCAGCCTCACTCTCCCGAGGGGTCACCAGGACAAGGAGCACTGTAGGGTGATGCCAGTGCGCCGCACACCTGCCACTCGCCAGTCATTTGTGCCCTGTGCAAAGCCCTGAGGGCAGGCCCAGCTCCTAGCTCAAGCCAAAATCCTTGTGCCCCTTCCCTTGGCTAAGATACCGACTCTGAAGCCACAAACAAGCTGATGGGAAAGGTGAGGCCTCCAGAGTTGGGGGGGGGATCCTGGTGTACACGGGGTGTCTGGGAGGGTGTCGAGTATTTCTAAGAAGAAAGAGCATGGCAGATGTGTCTTCAGGGCTGAGGATGTGGAACAGCATGGCCATTTCACCCAGTCCTGCCGTGGCATCTGTGGACACTCTAGCTGATGGTGGAGGAGGGACTAAGATTGACCACAGGGCCCACCACACACCACCCCTTCCTTGGGCTTCCACCTGGGATTTCCTTAGACTAATTCTAAGGCATCCTATCTTGTTTTTCTAGCAAAGAAAAACAAAAAAAACACTTCTCATAAACAGTCACATAGTCTGCCAAGTTTTAGCCAAAAAGAGTACCCAAGGAAAAGCTGGACAAGCATCTGACAGTCCCCAGGGCCAGTCTCAATGTCATCCCTTCCTGTCCACTAAACCCAAACCCGAGAAAACGCCATTCCCTTTCAAAACTCTAGCCCAACTGTACGTTCTTGTCATGGTCACTAGGAAAAAGACAGCAAAATGGACATGCAAGGGAAAACAACTGCAGAAAAAAAAACAGGCAGAATTCACGTGCCATAAGCCTAAGCTCTCCATCCTATGGAAGCCATGTTTCTGCTCCGTTCTAGCTCCCAGGAGTGCCTGTAAAAATGGGCACTGACCAGGAGAGGGCAGCAGACAGCCGGCCATCACCGCACTCCTGGGGCTGGACAACTATTTACTGAGCAAGCACTGGGTACTGTGGACCTCCAGACCACAGCCCTTCTTCCTAGAGAGACTGGAAGTCTGAAGGTGGCTGCACACATCGCCACACCCTCTCTCACACCTAGGCTGACACACACACACATGCTGATGTGCACACACAGCATCCACGGTAGAACAGCTGTCTATGACGGCTCTCTCGTGTCCAGGGGCTCTACCCACAATACCTAGGCCTACCATCCCCTGCCATGCCAGCAACCACTCAGGTTAGACTGTTATTCTTCCATCGAGGTGCTCAGATAGTATGTAGGAAACCACTGCTATGAGACCAGGGGGAGGTAGGCAGACTAAACTCATTTTTAGGTGAGACCTCAAAATCTCAACTAGAGACACAGGGAAGAGGATCAGGATCTCTTGACTCAGACCACTGGGACAGTGACAAACCCAGGGTACTTCTTCTGGCCCTATGGCAGGCCTATGGGTGTCACTTACAAGAAGTCTGCACCTCACTTTGCCACTCCATAAACTGGGAAGGGGGTCCAGCCACCTTGATGCAGGTGGTACTATTAGCAAACTGCTCTGCAGTGCTGGAAGACACATGGCCAACCACAGGTTCAGATCCCAGGTTGACCAGAAACACACTGGGCATGTGTACCCGAGATCCTGGTGAACTGGAGGATGGGGGGAAAAGGACTGTAACATGGTGAAACCCTGCCTCTCTCTCTTTCTCTTTCTCTCTCTGTCTCTCTCATGAAATAAACAGGCAAAAAGAGAAGAGGGCACTTCCTGCCAAGAAAACAAGGGGAGAAAGCGACCTCAGTGCTTGCCCCTTTTCAGAAGAAACACTTCATTTCCTCTGGCTCCCCTACCCTGCTGCCAGCCTGCCCTTGGGTGGGATGAGGGTGGGTTGATTACCGAGGTACTCACACAGAGGCTGGCCCTTGTGAGGTTCAGGACAAGCAGCTTCTCGGTCAGCCTTTCCGGGGGCTCGCACGTGATCTGGAAGAAGTCACTGGGGTTACAGTTCAGGCCAAGTGTTGAGAACCTGACTCTTCCCTCTCCATGGGTGTGCATGGCAAGCTGGGACATGGCTGGACCCGTCCAAGCCAGGAGAGACAGTGGATGAATAACTGTTCCTGACGGCCCTCATCAGGGGCCCTGGGTTGGAGGGAAGAACGGACGCTGTTCTTGGAGGCCCTCCAACCTGAGTCCCACCTTTGCAGGCATTACCCGTTTGTTCCCAAGAGTCCAGGTGGAAGAAGTTGTGGTGGAGTCCTGGAGGTCCGTGGAAGCTGGCTTGGAGCTGACACCTGTGGGTCCTTCAACGGGAGGTGTAGCCACGGTTCCCAGGGCAGGGCCTGTGGATGGCAGAGAGGCAGAGGAAAAGGGTAGAGGGCTGACTAGCATCTTGCTAGAGGTCTGTGGAGCTTCTTGTGAGATAACTGGGTTTGGGGTGATGCCACTGGGAAACAAAGGTTATGAGAAAAAGTGAGGGCCGAGTGACCTTATAGTGATGGAGTTAAGCACTGTACACAGGAAACTGGATCCCACATGGTTGACCGGGGTTCAAGTCCTTGCCCTGGTGGCTTGAAAAACATGCCAAGCATGCATGCATATGCCCCAGATCTTGACAGGGTAGAGAATTGGAGGAAAAAGGATGGTGGTATGACTAGGGCCCACTGGAAGTCTCTCTCATGCACACATATGCACCTGTGCCCTATGGCAGTTAACAATAAATAAATTAAAAGAAGAGGAGTGGTGCTCTTAGGAGAAAAGGACAATCTGCCCTTGCTCTAACAGATTTTGCAGGGGGTCATATCCCCACCAAAATGACAAGATGGAAGTAAGCAGACACAAGGAGGAAGAGGCAGGATGGACAAAGTAGATTCCTGTAACTTCTTACAGAGAGGGTCAGACTGGACGAGTCCATGCAAGAGCCAGTCAAAGCAAGCCACAGCCATAGCGATGTTGGCAGTGACAGCTGACATTCATGGAGCACTGCTCTGTCTGAGGATGCTCTGTGCTTCAAAGGCACCTCCTATTTAACCCGCATTAATAACCTGCAAGGAAGGTGCCATCCTTATCCCTAGTTTACAAGCAAGGAACCTGAGACTCACAGAGGCTCAGTGTGTTGCCCACGGTCAGGCGCATGCCAGCAAGTGGCAGAGCAGGGATCTGAATCCAGGTATATCTAACCCAGAGCCTGTGCTCTGACCGCAAGGTGTGGCCATCTGTTCTTTGCAGGTCACCCGGGAGCCCTTGGAAACGCAGATTCTCAGGCCATGCCCAGAAATTCTGATTCAAAAGATCACCATCTTGAGGCTCATGACCCATCAGTAGATTCTGAAGTTAATTTACTAGTTTAAAACCAGTACTTTGGGGCCGGTAGGTGGACTGGTGGTTAAGGGCGCTGGACTCCCACATGGCCGACTATGGTTCAAGTCCCAGAAAGTTAAATAAAATAATTCTTTTTTTTTTAAGAATCATTTTTTATTTGATTTCATTCTTTTTAAAAATATTTATTTATTTTTTTTATTTGACCAGAGAGAGAGAGACAAGGAGGTGAGAAAGTAAGCTGCCAGGTCCGGGACTCGAATTATGGTCAGCCATGTGGGGAGTCCAGTGCTTAACCACCATGCCATCTGCAGGCCCAATAAAATAACCCTTTAAAACCAAGCCAAACCAACAACAACAACAAACCCAGCACTTCAAAAAATAAAGAAAACGGAACAGAACATACCAGGATGTATAACATGTAGTGAGAGCACATCTACTGAGTGCAACTTTGGTTTTGGATGTGTATGTGACACGTGTGCATTTTGGATCAGGATGTAAAATGTTTCATAGCGTAAGGTGCCTGGACAGGTCTGAGCGGCCTGGTTCCCCACAGAGTGCTTCTCATCCCCCCCCCCCCCCCCCCGCCACCCAAG